GTCTTTTGCATGAGTTTGATAACAAATAATCGCATGTATTGAGGCATCAAACTGTTTGAATTTGAACTTACCAGTTAAAAGTCCATGTTGGTCCATATGAGCTTCCTCCTCCCATGCCCTCGATCTATGAATCTACCGAAATAGTTATTGAAAAGTGAGCAAATAGTAGCAACATAGAACTGTTAGTGCCTTTTCCTTACTTTATATCAATGAAAAGAACAACCTTCACAATCGCAAGTAACATCGTTAAGCAACTGTAAGCTAGATGTGTGATTGCCATTAGGAATATGAAGCGATGCAACTGCTCGAGACCTTCATGCGAAACAAATGGCTCATGACCCTGCAGAACAGAATATTTTAACGGATGATCGTGTAGACCAGCCTGCAATAGCAGGAATCTGTGGGGAAATGGATTAGCTGCATGCCTCTTTACAGGTAATGGTGTTCATGTCTCTCAAAATTCTAGGAAAAGAGTGAAAATCGGAAGCCGAAACGTGAAGCTTCTCGGAGGAACCATTTTCATCTTCTTCAACGATCTCAGACATGGAACATGGTGTGAAGGCACCGGTATAGAACCTTTACGGAATGCAGATATTCGATATTGCCCTCGATGTTGCTACTAGAAGGAGCGACATGAATCCTAGCAGCATTAACTCTGAAGAAACATGTCCAAAAGACAATGAAGAGATGGTAATACAAGTATGGCACTCAAAAACTGAATCAGAAAACAACATTTCACACGCCTCATTAGGTGAAAATTTAAGGAACTAGACCTTCTTTCATCTTATCCAAAGCTTTAAGCAGAGGTTTTCTCTCAATTATCGTTAACCACTGAAACAACAAAAATAAAGTATAGCACATCAGATGTTATCCTTCCATGATAAAGAAACCGAAGATCGGAAACCAAAAACGCGATACTCACATTGGTTAAGAGATGAATCGAGCGCTCCACGATCAAAGAAACTGCAACAAAGACTGTCAACACAGTAGCAGTAGACCATGTTGGCGTTGATGCCACTGATCTCATTTCTTTAGCATCCTCCACACTTTCCACCATTTTTAAACACTCAAAATTCTATAAAAACTATAGTGCATCTCTCTTAAACTACAACTAATGCTGAGTGATAGAAACACAAGAAATCAACAATGTTTGATCTTCCTCCTCAAAAATAAGACAAGATTTTCCTGTCTTAATAAAAAAGTTATACCAATCTTATAAAACAACTAATGTAACACACAACCTAGACTAACTTATCTTACATCACATTGACATAAAATCAAACAAATTATGATCTTTATATCTTCAACCCTCTCTCAAACTATACAGAATTTGCTTTTGGTTTCAGATTAAAACAAGGAAAACACAATGATCCAAAGTTTTATTGTTATTAAATGTCCAATTTTTGCAGTTCTATTTAAGACACGAACAAAAAGGAAGAAGGAAAGAGATGATCAATGGAAGAAAAAGACAGAGCAACTGAATCTTGGAGAACCCACATTGACAGTTATATCAGATCTCTTTTTTAGCCAAAAAAAAAACTAACAGATTTTAAAAAATTCGGTGAGCTTGAAATTTTATAATAAAAAATTGCTTCTTTTAACCTCTTTTCAAAAAATATAATAAAATAAATTCTTCTATATAACAAGTAATTACAATCAAAATAAATAAATAAATAAATAAAAGAGTTTGTAAACACATCCCAAATATAGAAATTCACCAATTCTGGTACAATATCAAATATAAATAGAAATCTTAATTTGATTTTTTTTTAATATTTCTCCAATTCTGCCAATCAATATATTCTTAAATGGAAAAAGCAGGACAGAAACCGTAGATTTTGTCACCCATTGCAATTAAATAAATACTCAGAAACTGAAAATGGAAACCAATGGAGTTTGATAATAGTAAAATTTACAGCTCAAGCTGTGAGACTGTTGTGTTCAGGCTTTTCAATTGAAATTACATAATGCTAGTATTCCAGCGTTCCAATGCTCGCTCAGTTAACTGATCTGAGTCATTATCCGACTCGCAACCTGAGTTGTACAGAAAGGGCTGAAACAGAGCTTGGTATTGGTTTGATCCGCCTCCAACGGTTCCCAAAGCTCCAGCGGATATATACGAATCGTTGGAAGAGATGGTCCGCCATTATCAACTATCAGGTTTTTTCAGCAACCAAAATGATTCTGAGTTTTGATGTCACACCCCAATTTTTTCCCAAAATTCAAAATCATATCTCATGACACGACATCGACCTATTGAATCAACGTAAACTATTGGTCCCCGCGTTACGATATTATACCGTTATACTTAAATTTCAACTATTCTCTCTATCTCTGAAATTATGAAACAAATGAAAAATCATATCTAACGACACCGCAAGAGAGGGGAGAATGAGAACATTATCAAGCCACATACGCCATGTCCAAGTCCAAGAAAAAAACATCGTCGTCTTCTTCCGCTTCAGCATCTACAGTTGAAGAGTACTATTATGCATCTCAGGATATTTTCGGTTTCTATCCTCCATACCATACTTCAACCGAGACTCAACCGGATTGGGTTAGAGGTTCATGGAATACACCGCAATACACTCAAGTATTTTCGACAGAATATGCAGTTGCGAGTGAGTGAGATCATTTCTTATATGGTCACCAAAGTAGCAGACAAATCGAATCAGTTACAACAATGATGATGCCAATTACCATAAGTACATCACCGTATTTCGAAGATGGATCTCAGAATGTGTTAAGTACACCTCCTCGGCACGACGATGACGATCAAGGTCTACGACCTTGGTGTACACGACGATTCCCGCGCCATTATCATTCGACAACTCCTCGGCATCTTCAAGAACTTATAAAATATAAATAAATTTTCTAAGTAATTTTTTCTGTAAACAATTTATTTTTTGTAATTATTTATTTACTTTGTATTTTTTAAAATATAAATAAATTTATTTTAATTTTAATTTTAATTTTTTAAATTTTATCTGGCCGAACTCGTAGACCAAAGTGACTGTTTCCCATTGACCAACAGCTATTTTTTTAATTTGAAGGATCTCGCCACCTTTTTTAATTTAAATAGTATAATTTTATTGTGTAATTTAAAAAAAATTAATAAATTCGACACCTCGAGGTGATGAGTCGTATTAATGACAATAAAATAATAGTCCACATAAAATCCACTACTCATGGATCATTTACAAATAATATCATATGTAACTTGTCACCTCGAAGTGACGATTTCGATATCTACTATAACATTTATTATATTTCTCAAATTAAAAATTAGATTGACCTAATGCCTTAATTAATTAACCCTCTTGGGTATTGGGAAAAAAAACCAAATTGCACCTCATTCCCACACTTTTAATTGCAACATTATAACCCAAAAGGAATCCATGAGAAATGTACAACAAATATATCTAAGAGTTACCCACATATACTTCAAGATTATAGTAAAAAAATTGTTGTTATTCTTTAATGATTTATGTTTGAGTATCATAAATGCTAAGGGTGTGAGCATTTAGTATCGAAAGATTAAGAAAAAAAAATTAGCTGACCCTATTCCCATATATAATGGGGTAAGGAAGAGGTAGGGTAGCAGGCTGTCCCAACGCCAGGTTGAGAACAACTTACGTAGAAAATCTCCGTTATGAATTTTTTAAAATATAGATAAATTTGCTAAATAATTTTTTCTGTAAACAATTTATTTTTTATAATTATTTATTTACTTGAACATGTTTCTAGATTGGACCACTTGAACATGTTTCTAGATTGGACCACTTGAACATGTCATAAATCATTAGAACCCAATCCAATTGGGACTAAAGATAAACTGTTCATTGGCATGAGAGACAGCAAATATGGACAAGAAAAGATTAAGCCAATGGTGTCATTTCAACTCCCTAGTCAAGCTGTTAGTTCAATTCCTAGTACTTCCAAATTGCCCATGGTTAGCTTTTAAAACCAGTGTCATATAGGGGAGGTCACTTCCAATAATAACAACAATAAAGCAAAAATCATCACTTCATTTGTGACATTTTAGACTTCTTAACAATACAATTTAATATTTTTAAATAGTTTTTTATAATTAAATTATCAATTTTTATATTGAATAGTTAAACAATATAAGGACCTGAATGAAAAATATTGAGTAAATTATGTATTTAGTATTTAAATTATTAATTTTGATATATTTTAATATTTAAATTTTTAAAATCATACTTAAAATTTAATTTTTATTTTTATTTTTATACTCTATTGTTAAAAACTTTAATTTTTGTTTCATTTTAATACTTTAACTTTTAAACTAAACACTTTAGCATTTAAATTTTAGTATTTAAACTAAACACGTTAAGTTTTTAACGACGAAGTATTAAAATAAAATAAAAACTAAACATTAATTATAATTTTTTTAAAAAAATAAAAATTTAAATATTAAAATAAATTATTTAGATATTAAATACGTAGTTTAACTCAAAAAAAATATTTGCATTGTTTTCCTTGATGCTATTTGATTCCGACATTTCCTGTTTTTACCAAGTCTTCCCATACCAAACCACATCCCGACTTGTTCAAATTTCTAATATTTTGTAATAATTTTTTAAAAGAAAAGACAGATATTTTTTGAAAAAAAATCTCTACTTTAGTGCTTTGAAAAGCTCCTTAGGCCTAATAATGGAGGTTTGCAATAATTTCAGACAGCGCAATCCTGTTTAATGGCTAATCAAATTAGATAATGAATAGATGAAAAGACAAAGAACCCCCTCAATGATGCCAAACCAGAAAAGAAACCAGCAGCTTCCACTTTCAGTCAAAAAGATAATGTCATGCCAGGAGAACAAATACTGGTAACTAAAACAAAAGAAATTTCAGAAGATTTAGATAAGAACACATTGGGGGTCCGAGTTCCCTTATCCTTTTCACTTTAATTTAATATCCCCGTCAAAGTGAAGAAAGAATCATATAAATAGTGATTAAATTAAACCCATCTATACTTCCATTTCCATTTTATTTGTTTTGTCATTTGATTCTTGGCGTGTTGCTTTGAAAGAACAATGTTGGCTATTTTCCACAAGGCATTTGCTAATCCACCGGAGGAGCTGAACAGTCCAGCTTCTCACAAATCTCCGAAGAAGCCTAAACAGCCTGAAGAAACCCTGAATGACTTCCTCTCTCATCACCCTCACAACACTTTCTCCATGAGCTTCGGCAACGCTGCCGTTTTGGCTTACGTCCGCCATGAAAGCCAGCCTTCTATCAATCAGAGGTAGGCAACAAGTTTAGTTTTTTTGGGTGGTGATTATGAAAGATCGACACTTTTCTTCTTCCTTTTTGCAGGCTGTTCTGTGGGTTTGATGACATGTATTGCCTCTTCCTAGGGAGCTTGAACAACCTGAACATGTTGAACAGACAATACGGGCTTTCGAAAGGGAGCAATGAGGCCATGTTTGTGATCGAAGCATACAGGACCTTAAGAGATAGGGGTCCTTACCCTGCTGATCAGGTCGTCAAGGATCTAGATGGAAGCTTTGCCTTTGTCATCTACGACAGCAAGACCGGAACTGTGTTTGCCGCACTGGTAATTAAAATCAAAACTCACCGTCACCCCAAGTTGAAATCTTGGAAATTTGAACCAAAGGGTATACTTAAAAAACAGCAAGTTTTGATTTTTTATTTTCAGGGCTCAGATGGTGGAGTCAAGCTGTACTGGGGAATTTCAGCTGATGGCTCTGTGGTGATATCAGATGATTTGGAGGTCATCAAAGAAGGGTGTGCCAAATCCTTTGCCCCATTCCCGAAAGGTAAACAAGAACTGTATTCAGTGTAATTGATTTGTGGTTGGGAATCTGGGAAATGATTGATTTGGGGGACGTTCAGGGTTCATGTTCCATAGCGAAGGGGGGCTGATGAGCTTCGAGCATCCGATGAACAAGATCAGGGCAATGCCGAGAGTAGACAGTGAAGGAGTGATTTGTGGTTCCAATTTCAAGGTTGATGTTTACTCCAGAGTTAACAGCATCCCACGAGTGGGGAGTGAAACTAATTGGACTGACTGGGGTTCCCATTAATAATATGGAGAATTACATATAAAAATGGTGACATGCCATGGATGTGGTGTTCTTTCAAAGCTTTGAGCAACACTAGGGCTTCTTTTCTTTTTCTTATTTTCTTTCCCTTTTCGGTTTGGTCCTTTTTCTATGTTTTTCTCGTTTGGTTTCTCTGGGATTGTGAATAATTACCAAATAATATAATATTTGAAGGTTATTGTTCTACTTTTCTAGTAAATTGTGCCATTTGCCTCCCTATTACTTGCAAGGGATTTACTTGGTAAATTTCATAATGGAAGTTCTTGGGAAAAATTTCATTTCAATTTGCAGATGCTTTACCTATAATTCGAAAAAAATTATAGTCGAATCCAATGCTAAATTTTAAAAATTAAAAAAAATAATTCAACTTAACTCATTATCATTGAACTAAAATGAAGCCCAAATAAACAGCGAGTAAAAAAAATTATTCTGTTAAATTATCTTCAAAATTAAATTTAGAATTTATGTAAATATTACAATGCTGGATAAATTTTTACACATGATGAATTTATCTAAATAATATTTTTTATTTAAATTTATCAAATTGAAGTGATAAAATTTAAAAATATAAATTTTTATTAAAACATATATTAAAATTTGTCACATCAATGACTTATCATCTTTAATAAAAAATATTTTATTAAAATTTATCATATTTACGTGACGAATTTTAAATTATTGTCAATGTAGTAGTTTTCAGAATAAAATATCTGATGTTATATTGGGTTAAATAGCCCGTTTATGATATTGGGCCGATTTTGCCCATACAAACATAAGTGTTATAAAAGGCCCATGGAGTAGCACATTTCCCATGCACGTGTGAAGGGAAAGGTTAAATTCTACGGTAAATTAACTGACCTTATTCCCATATATAATGAAGTGAGGGGAGGTAAGGTAGTAGGCTGACCCCAACGTCAGGTTGAGAGCAGTTTCCGTGGAAAACCTCCGACAGTCAGAATTATGAATTGTTCACTGTGGGGACTCGATCCGACGACCACAAGATTAAGAGCCTTGCGCTCTACCAACTGAGCTGAACATCAATTCAAATTTTAAATTCTGTATTAATATTGATCTGATTAAAATTTATTTTTTTAAAATATTTTTAATATGATAAAAATAAAAAAATATATAAATTTTATAAGTAAACTAATGAATTTAATCATTTCGAAAAGTAAAAGAAAAAGTGCGTGACTGCCAATGGGCCAGTAATGCTCCATTTCAGGCCTCAAATTCATCACTCTGGCTTTGTCTCTTCTCCTATTGTGATTTCTACCAATGCCCGAAACCGATCAGAAACCCGACTCAGAATCCCAGAGACCCGACATTGCCGTTGATCCCAACGGTGGAGATGACGATACCGATGAAGACGACATCTTTGAAGATGATGATGAAGAAGAAGAAGAAGAAGAAAACGACGACGTCTTGTTCGAACCCACCACGCCACGCTCGGTGAAGCTGAAAATGGACACACTGGTCCGGCGCATGTTAAACGGCCCCGTTCCGATCCACGTCCACGATGTGATCATCAAAGGGAACACGAATACCAAAGGCTACATAATCGGAGCCGAGGCATCGGAGGCTTTGAAGAAATCCACCACGATGCAGGACCTGTTGCGAGCTTCTAACGCCGTGAATTCGCGGCTGAAATCGCTCGGTCTCTTCGATTCGGTCACGATAACGCTCGATTCAGGCCCGCCGGAGATTCCCGGGAGCGCCAATGTAATTGTTGAGGTCGAGGAAGCTAGGAATCGGCTATCGGGAGAGATTGGAGCTTATACTAAAGCTGAGGTATATTTTCTTTACAAAAATTCAAGGCTTTTGTTTTATTGGTAATCGAATTATTGTGAATAAATTAAGGTAATTATATCTATATTAGATACAAAAGGGATACATTTATTAAAATTGTTTAATTCCTCAAAAAAGTTCTTGCCATTGCACTTTAAATGGGATGCAAATGCCAAATTTAGGTCTTCTGAGTTTGTGTTGAGATGTATTAAGGAGATTAATTCTGAAATTCTGATTTAGTTCTCTGGTTAAGATTCTAGTTTGGGAATTATTATCTAGTTTACATTTGTACAAGGTTGCGAAAATGGGAAACATATGCTAGTGAATATTTATATATTGCCGTATTCCTGTTTTGTTGAGTCATAATTGCATGATGTTTTTGTAGACTAAATCTTCCTCGGTGGAAGGATCAATCAAGTACAATAATTTGTTAGGGTTTGGGGATCTATGGGATGGTTCAATTGCATACGGTTTGGACCATGCGGCAGATATAAGTGCTGGTGTATATTTGCCCAGATTGAGAACATTGGTAGCTCCTGTGACTGTTCGTGCATACATGTTGACCCAAGATTTGCTGACCTTTTCTTCTTACAAAGAGCGATCCGTCGTACTTTCTCTTGGCTTGTATTCGAATAGGTATCAGAACTTGGAATACCAGCTTGCTTGGCGCAACTTAGCAGATCCATCTCAAACGTCATCCTCATCCTTAAGGATGCAGCTTGGGCATGATTATCTTTCATCTCTGAAGTATACACTAAAAATTGACAAGAGAAATTCTCCTGTGAGGCCAACTAAAGGATTTGCATTTGTTGCTAAAACTCATATCAGTGGCCTTGCACCTGATAGTCAAAGTTTAAGATTCCTTCGCCAGGTTTGATAATAAGCATGGACTTCTTATTGCAGGTTTACTTGTATGTATTTTGTCATATTGTTATCAGTTTGGACTTCGATGTGCTATGTTTTCATGACCAGTAGACAAAAGAGTGTTAGAAATTATCTTTTATCATTGTCATGTATATTCTTTTATGTATGCGCATGAACACTAAATTTGAAACCTAGTTCAGTAACCATTGGCCGAAAGCTTATTTGTGGAGGTGTGAACTATCATACTGCAATTTGACTGCCAGATAGAAGTGTAGGTATCATGGGGATTTTCTTCTTTAACGTGCTAAGTTTAGGTTATTTTTATGAGGATATAATAGAAATCAAATTTTGTTTGTCTTTATTTGGAATATTGGCTTTTCCATTTGATTACTTGCATAAAAGCTTCTATCCAGACTTAGCTTCACTTTCAGGGTTCTAGTATCTGAAATTCTTAATATTGTGTATGAATGTAAATAGCTGTTTGAATTTGCCACTGCTTTTATGGTCATACTTGGTTTCTATTTATTTTATATCTTTCCATCCGATCATAATTGTTATATGAAGTAGCTGCTTGCTATTGTACTTTCTTTTTGCTGTCAATTTACGTGTACCATTCACCTGATTTTCTATCAGGAGTTCGATCTTCGTTTTGCTATTCCTCTTGGATTTTATCGTGCAGCACTTAATCTTGGGATTTCTAGTGGTTTTCTTTTTCCATGGGGGAGTGGATTCTTGAACAGGACTACATCCCTACCAGAAAAATTCTTCTTGGGTGGCAATCTATCTCCGGTTTGTGCTTTAGGAGGGCCAAAAGCATTATGGGGATTTAAGACAAGGGCATCTGGCCCAGATGAGCCTACAGGACAAATCAACGTTGAAAATGCTACTGGAGGAAACTTTACCGTCACTGCTCTAGCAGACTTTTCTTTTGATCTTCCATCTAGGTGGCTCCGAGAAAGGGGAATCCATGCACACGTCTTTGCATTTGCTGGAAATGTTGCTAACTTAACGGATAAAGAATTCCGAAGTTTCTCCATGCAGAAGTTCGTAGAGTCATTCAGAAGTTCAGCTGGAGTCGGCATTGTCATCCCTACTAGTCTATTTCGCATGGAGGTTAATTCCCTTTTCCCTTTATTTAAAACTTTCAACATTGAATTGGATGGAAAGAAAATGAATGGCTTAAATCCAAACTGTACACATTTCATTTAGCTAACTCTGGTTTTTGGTGGTTCATGTTTTGACATGGTATGTTTGCCAGCTTAATTACTGCTACATACTAAAGAAATTTACTGGCGACCATGCAAAGGCTGGCTATTGGATATCCTTCTCTCGTCCATCGTAGAACGTTGAATTCTTCGAGGTACGTTGGTATCTGGACACAATGATATGGCACGGTATCCACACGGAAGCCTGCCACTTCAAGCAGTTAAGTTTCCCCCCCCCCCAAGACCATGGCAATTCTGCTTCTTTTTATGGAAAATCTTAGTTTCATGAGCTCATCAAATTGCCCTTCTTCACTTCAATAATAGAAGGGATTGTAATTGCATTTCAATGATTCAACTGATTGGTTTGCTTGAGAGCCTGACCGTTTACTGATCTCATCATTTTGTTTTTCGAGGATTACACTTCTATCATCATTTGTCCATATAACTCTTTAATGATGTTATCTGATGTTGCATCCCGGGTTAACTTTCGATGGATGGTCAGTTTGTATGGTTCAGGACAACGATTTTATGTTCTTGAATCGAAAACAAAGGAATAAATAGAAAGAATACCTACTGTTTCAGCTGGATTTTGAGTGCTTTTGGGAGTCATTATACTTTTGCTCAATTATAAATACATTTCATAACATACACCATACAATTCACAATCATTAGAATCGATCAACTTTCAAGAACTCTTTTAGCAATTTGTGCAGCTGCTGCTAAGAGTTGGTTATTAGGCTTTGGATCATTAGCTTCAAACTCTTTCTTCACGGCATAAGCAATGTCTGATCTGATAATGCATGAACCATTTGTTTTCTCAATGATATCAAATCGAACAATTTGAACCGAGCAACCAATTGCTAAACATCCTCCTTCCAATCCCTTTGCCACCTTCTTTTCATCATTAATCACAATGAATCTTTCAGTATAGCTTGAATTCCCTGTTTCAATTGATAACAAAAATAGGGTTTAAAAGAGTTGGAACATATAGGAAACAAATGTTTAATCATGCCTCAAGTTTAAAGCCTTTCTATTTGTGAAATATGCAAGCACCTGGAACAAAAGTGAGTTTGAGCATGGTTCCAATACCACCATCACCTTCCAAAACTTGAACATTTTGGATCACATTTTGGAGGTTTTAAGCAGTAAGCCTTGAAATCCCAAGGTGCCTATAAAGCTCCCATACCCTATCTGCCGCCACATTCACCTGAAGCTCATTGGTAAGATGCTTCAACTCTTTGGACTCAGCCCCCATATAACAAGATAAAAGCAGAAAGAAAATGAAGGAAACTTGCTTCAACATCTCTGCAAAATCTGGGTTTCTTTCCTTTTTTTTTATCTACTTTTGCTAGCCTTTTGAAACTTGGGTTTTAATCAGTTTTGAACTCTGTAGAACGATATTCAATGGGTGCAATTTGAGAGAGTTTATATAGAAAATGGAGAGGAGGATGAGGCAAGTTGAATGCATTAAATGTGCATGGCTCGGTTGGCAAATTGAAGTCGATAACAGTCGTGCATTCCCATAATGTGACGTCTCACGTAGAACACATCTTGGCCAATAATAACGGCTGCTACAGGGATAGGGTTTCAGAAACCGACTTTGATTTGTTTTCAAAATTGTACCTTAAATTAACGAACCATTCTTCCCACATTAAGATAAGGTGTAATTATTACACCCAACAATATCTCTCTTTCGGAGTTCATTAAGATTTAAAGGGTCACTTTAAAATCATGATTGGAGAAGTGATTTCCACATAACCTCAAAAACTCAAATTTTTATTTTGCTGTGAAAAATCACTTTTGAGTAGAATTATATTTTTATCTTCAATTATTTAGTTTTAATTTACAATATAATACATCTTAAACAGACATTTTATCTTTTTAAAATTGTTTTTTAACAACAATCAAAATAGTTAAATTTAAAACTATATTTTTTAAAAATAATTTTTTAACACTTTTCCAAATTAATTTTCAAAAGTAATATCTATGAATTCTATCATATAACAATATTTTATATAAGATAATATGCTGTAAATAAAATTTAACAATGATTTATGTTTTATGAGTAACATATATGTATAGTAATAAATAAGCTATTGATATTATAATTATACCATGCAATCGACCTTATATATATTATAATCTTTTGTATACTGTATTTATAATATTATATCATAATCTATAACGAAATTTACATTATATGTACTATATATGATTAATAATAAGCATATCAATTTCAAGAAAAAGTTATATGTGTATCAAAATTATAAATTATGGTTATATGTTTAAACGATATGTATATGAATTTTATATATTTAAAAGTATTGTATTATTAAATTAATGTATTATATCACTATATGTTTAGTACAATTATCAAATCTAACCTTGTATATTTGAATCATTGGTAATATTTTTATATTTGTTAGGTATATTTTTCAAATTCATTTTACTTTATATTATAAATTAAATTTTTATTCAATGTAAACATGATACCCTAATATGAGTACATCGGGTTTCTTTTCTTCTACTGATAATTATCCTTACACGTCTTTCTTTTCTTTTAATATTCCTCGCATGTTTTTCTAAGAAAAATTAAAGTATAGTGTATTAATATTAAAAAAAAAAGCAGTACCTAATATCATTAATTATGTTGTCTCAAATATAGATAATTTGGTATTATATATTCAAAGATAACTCTCAATCTTTTGATTGTAAACGCTTACACCCATGTCATCTATGGTACTCGAACTCAGGTCCTCAAGGAATAACAATTTTTTTTTACCATGAATGTCACTTGATTCGTGCATCATCGGCAAATCTAGGATTATAGTAATATATTTTAAGATTAAAAAATGTTAATGATGCCATGGACAATGACAAGTTAACAAATAATTGTGGAATTAACATTTATTTAATTTCTACTATAAGATAATATTACACACAACGTAATTATATATGAATAAATAATTAAAATTAGAATATTTAATACTCCGTATGTCATGTTCTCTCCGTCCCATAATTTGTGTCTTTTACTGATTATGCACATAATTCTAGGAGAAATATTTGATTAAGAAAAATGATAAAATTATCCTTGAAAAGTTATTGATAAATTTGATATATTTGTTTTTATAGATGTAAAAGAGTGGGACATATAAAGGTAAAAAAGAAAATATAAGTGTTATTGTTTGTCGATTTTTCTAATAAGACAATTTGAACGAGACAATTTTAAAAATCGAAAGAGACACATTTAATGGGACATATGGAGTATTATTTTTGTTCCATGTTGACCAATTATATAATTTTGAGAGATAAATTTGATCACATTTGTCATGTCATATAAAATGTGAGAATTGTCAAAATTATCCCTAAAAAGTGATTAACAAATTTAATATATTTGTTCTAATATGTGTAAAAGAATAGAACATATAAGGACAAAAAATATAAGTATTGTTATGTATCTACTTTTTAATAGAATATTTTGAATAAAACAATTTAATGAGATGGGTGGAATATATCACTATATAAGTTACCTAAGTGGTTAAAGTGGTTAGAGTGATGATTGTTATCTTTAGAGGTCTCAGATTCAGGCATTGAAGATTACAAGGGTGTTGAGCTTTTATTATTAAACGATTAAGAATCTTTAGAATATGTATTATCTTGTAAAAAATGTAAAGTACACAAATGGTATATAGGGTACTGCTTTATTAAGTAATTCGACTATTAAAAATTATAAAATGGTCCTTTGACTATAGAATGTTGCTTTGTTAAGTCTCTCGACTATTAAAAGCTGTAAAATGGTCACTAGACTATTAATTATGTTCCAAACCCGTCCTTTTCCTAACGTTAACATGATAATTGAGATGTGATAGTCGTTTGAGATTATAGGATCAGATTTTATCATATCACAGTAAACAAATTTACGTTCAACTAAGAATACCGTCAATCTTTTAATGGAAAAGTACGTGTTTGGAACATAATGAATAGTTGGATGGCTGACCATTTTGTAACTTTCAATAGTCGATTGATTCAACAAAGCAACACTTTATGGTTAAAGGATCATTTTGTAACTTTTAATAGTCAAGAGATTTAATAAAGTAATATCCTATAATCGGGACCATTTATGTATTTTACCCTAATAAAAAAGAAATATATATAAAAAAAACCTCGTGAAATTCTTATTTCATTTAATTTATAGAAGTCTACAAGACTACAACAGTTGGGGCAAAAACTCATGCCATCATGAAAATCCCAACCCTCATCACCATCAATCTGTTAAATTAAGCTGACATTGCAGTTCCTGGATTCTCCAGAAATCTTTTAGCAACTCGTACAGCTGCTGCTATGACTTGGATATTAGGCTTTGGATCATCACCTTCGAACTCCTCCTTCACAGCGTAATCAATATCCGATCTAATAATGCATGAACCACTGCTTTTCTCAATAATTTCAAGCCGAACAATTTGAACCGAACAACCGATTGCCAAACGCCCTCCTTCCAATCCCTTTGCCACTTTCACCCTCTTCTCATCATTAATCACAATGAACTTTTCAGTATAGCTTGAATTCCCTGTTTCAGTTCCAAAAACACAAATGAATCCAACCAAAAAAAAATCTGGGTTTTAAAAGAATCTAACTATAAGTTGATCTAGTTGGACAAGACGTCTATAATTATGAAGTTACCTGGAACAGAAGTGAGTTTGAGAATAGTTCCAACACCGCCATCGCCTTTCGAAACTTGAACACTTTGGATCACATTTTTGAGTCGTTCAGCTGCAAGGAATGAATTCCCAAGGTGCCTGTAAAGCTTCCAAACCCTACTTGCAGCCACGTTCACTTCAACCTCATCGGTAACATGCTTCAAACCTAATTTGGACTCGACTCCTGAATAACAACAGAAAATAATAAGCAAGAAAATGAAAGAAACTTGCCTCAACATTTCTGGGTTGAATGATATTCAATGGGTGCAGTTGGAACCTCCTTTTGTGGGATTCATGAGGGGATTATGGGATTCGAAATCTGCCTTTTTTTACCCATTGATTAAATATTTGTATGCTTTTAAATAAAGTCTTTTGGATGTTGCGAAGAAAGACAAAATAAAATGGATCGATGATTGATGAAAACATTAAAAAATATGAAATAAACAAACACAGGTTATAGAAATATTATTTAAAGGATGAGATTTAATGTATTCTTAATATATATACATTCGGAAAATAAGATGATAACGTATCCCTAAAAATAAATTTATAAGAATTTAGTAATCAAAAATAAATATAAAACTTTCGCTCAAGGGTGCCTTTACGATGTAATATATTTAATTTATCATTTTCATCTATATCTTATTTTCGCATCAATTTAGTCCTAAAGTTGTTTAATTACATCATTATATATCCCTCCCCTAACTAAACCCTAAGTTAGTGTTTAAGGTTTAGGGTTTATAATTTAGAGGTAATGGGTTATGTTTTAGGATTTAGGTTTTAAGTTAGAGAAAGGTATAGAATGATGCAATTGAGCAACTTCGAGACTAAATTGATGCGAAATTACGATAGGGGCAAAAATGATAATTTGGATCTACTAAAGGGCAAAGGTGACCATTTTGCCTAAAACTTTTAACTCATATTGTATAACTCAAACCAGTGTATATATTGAAAACTCATAAAATTCTTATTTCTATATATTTTTTTTATATTATACAAAGGTGAGGGCAAAATTTTCTAACACGAGAATATTAAAAGAAAATGAACAATGAAAGATTCAACCCTCCAACGCCATCAATCCCTTAAATTAAACTGATGTAGAAGTTTCTGAATTTTCCAGAAATCTTTTAGCGATTTGTGCAGCAGCTGCTAGGAGTTGAATGTTAGGCTTTGGATCATTAGCTTCAAACTCTTCCTTCACCGAATAACCAATATCTGATCTAATGATGCATGAATCACTGCTTTTCTCAATTATATCAAATCGAACAATCTGATCCGAGCAACCAATTGCTAGACATCCTCCTTCCAATCCCTTTGCCACTTTCACCCTCTTTTCATCATCAACCTCGATGAATCTTTCGGTGTAGAAAAAATTCCTAAAAATATAAGTAGAAAATATTTAAAATTTAAAGGAAAATCTAGAAAAAATTCTTAAGAATATAAGTAGAAAATATTTAAAAATAAAAATATTTCAAAAAGTTAATATGAGAGTAAAAAATAATTCAAAATATTGAAAGGTCAAATATTTCAATTCCTAGTGAACACCACTCCAGATGGAATCCAATGTTTTTTTCCATGAGACCAATCGAAAAAATTAATTGGCCCAATATGCCAATTTAGAATTTATTTTACAATTTACGGTAAATGTTGTAATGTAGAGTAAACTCATCATATCAATGTGATAAATGTACTCAAATAATATTTTTATTCAAATTCATCACATTAATGTGATGAGTTCCAATAAAATATATTTTTATTAGAATTTATCATATCGGAGCGAAAAAATTGAATAAAAAAATATTTTTATTAAAACTCTTCAAATTGACATGTCGAGTTTTAAGTCATCATAATAAATGTTATAGATCTCTAAATAATTTATTTTGTACTGTGTTAAGCTAAATAATTAGATCGCCTACCGTATTAGGCCAATTTTGCCAGGAATCCAACGATAGAACTGTGAAGCTGAAAATTGAAAGAACAAATATTTCAATCTGAAAAAGGGGTTTTTAATAGAAAAAAAAAGTTAAAATTATAACTAACTCAAATTCCAAATTAATTTATACTAAAAATATAAAACAAAACTTTTTTTCAAATTAACAAGTGAAATCAATCAATTAGATGTTGTTGGATGACAAATGCTAAAACAATTCCTATTTTGAAGCTTTAATCTGTTGGATAACAAAGGCTAAAACGATTCCTATTTTGAAGCTTTAATCTGTGTTGACTAATGATTTTCATTTATAGAGGGGAATTTTATTTCAAAGTGAAATGTTATGAGCTAAAATGCTTCAAAAAAAAAGTCTAAAATAATTATTTTGATAAAGATTGGGGGCTATTTTTGTTATTATGCCAAAAAAGTAAGTTTTCAAGGTAAAAAATTATGGATATTAATAAGCAAGAAAAATAATGGGATGCTAAGAGCATTGGAAGGTATGAGAATAGAATTGTATAATATGATAATGTTGAATTTAAAAAGATTAATATCGAAGAGAAAGATGAATAAGAAAAACACACAATAAAAGAATACTGTTAGAAGAGAAAATAACATCAGTGACCGAAAATGCCTTATAATATACGATTTTGACCAACTTTTTTTTAATTTGCCAAAATGACCAACAAAATCGCAATGCGATCTCTAAATCGCAACGCGATTTTGACTATCGTATTGTGATTTTCAAAATTCGCGTTGCGATGCGAATATGTAAATCGCAATGCGATTCTGACTATCGCAACGTGATAATACAAAATCGCAACGCGATTCTGACTATCGCAACACTGAATTTCAAATTCGCAACAGGTTTTAGTTTCGCAACACAAATATTTTGAGTATATAACTACGCAGCAACAATAACTCATAACCTAAATCCCTAAATCGCAACTCATTTCATCTCCATCTATCACTCTCTCCAGCGACATCCGTTCCTATATCCAACGACATCCTATATCCAACGACATCCTTTCCCATCCGGCAACAGGTTTTAGTTTCGCAGCTCGTTTGTTTAGTAAATTAATTTACAATAATGAAATCATCTAATGTTGATCATGTTTGGATAGATTTGTGTTTTGGAGGGTCATGGGAGAATGTTCATGGTGTTTTACAATATATGCCTTTACCCATGAATCTTCAACTAAAACTGTCATTAAAAAAGTTAACTTATCAAACTCTAATGTTACGTGTTGCAAATAAATTGAATTTAGAGCCCCTAAGTGGATTTAGGCTATCTTATTAGAGAAAAGGTAAAGTTTATTTGTTAACCGACAATGAAGATGTTGAACGATTCATTGCTTACATTAGTGTTTCGTAAGATGATGTTACATTTTATGTTGTTGAACCTAGAAGTAGTGAAGTTGGGTCAGTAGCGGGTAGTAATCAACTAAGTTTTTCAACCCAGTTTATGGTGCTCAAAATTTAATGGTTCCACCACAATTTCATCACCAAGCAAATTTTGTTTCACCACATTTCAAATACCAAACACAATCTCAAAACCCATAACCTTTCCCTAATCCAAATCCCAATCAACTTTCAGCACCAAATTCTGATTTTCATATTGACCAGTTAGACGATGATGAGCCAACAGAAAAAATTGTGAGTACTAGTCAGTATTCGAAATTTGATTTTGGTCAATACCCGGACTTTGATCTTGGTCAATACTCAGATTTTGATGATGTTTCAGAAGAAGAAACAGACCCTACGTGTAATGATTTTGATATTGGTCAATACCCGAATTTTGATGATAAAACAACCGCTGCCGAGGAAGATGTTGTTGATGATAATGAAGAGGAAGTTATGACTGTGAATGAACATATTGAACATCCATTCTGTAATTCATATAACCCTGAAGAAGAAAAAGAAGAATAAGAAATCCCCGAAGAAAATGCCACATGAGTATAACTGGAATATGCCAGAATTACTTCAGATACCAGAAGAAGAATTGGTAAAGATAGCAGTTGATTGTTACACAAGAATTATTCGTATCAAGAAAGATGATTGTTTTGATACAAAGGAAGACTTGAAGATAGCTTTGTATACGAAATGTGTGGAAGATGACTATCAACTAAAAGTTAACAAATTAAACAAAGATCGTTTCGAAACAAGGTGTATGATTGACAAAAACTGTACGTGGCGTATGATTGCAAAGAGGATAAAAGATTGCGAAATGTTTCAAGTTAAGACTTTTATTGATAAACATACATGTTCAAGAACCCAAGTTTTTCCTTACCATAGACAGGCAAACAAAAAGGTGTTGGGTGGTTTTCTGGCTGAGTTAATGTTTTTGAATGGCAGGGTATATCAGGGATATGAAATTATGACTGACATGAATGCTCGGTTCAAGATTAGTATCTCATATTCTCAAGCTTGGAGAGCCAAATGTTATGCCTTGGAATTGTTGAGGGGGTCGCCAGAAGCATCGATTGCCCAACTGCCGGCTTATTGTCACAATTTAAAGCTGAAAATCTTGGGTCGGTAACTCATATCAAAACAGATAGAGATGGACGGTTTGAGTTGATGTTTATCGCCATTGGTGCTGCGGTTAGTAAATCAATATAATTTTGTTGACTCATTTTTGTTAGTTACATTCATTTCACATTTAAATGATTATATTTCTTGTGTATATTATTTTGTAGATTCGTTCGTTTATTACTTGCATGCGCCCAGTTATTATAGTTGACGGAGCACATTTGAAAGGTCGATACCTTGGAGTAAACTTATTAGCAGTAGTCATGGATGCTAACAATGGGATATTGCCAATAGCTTACGGGGTTGGCAAATCTGAAACCTCTGATTCATGGACATGGTTTATGGGGCATCTTAGGGATTGCATAGGTCCTATTAGCAATATGACAATCATATTCGATAGGGCAAACTCAATTGACAACGCTGTTAGAAGGTGTTTCCCAGATGCTTTTCATGGACTTTGTGGTGTTCATTTGTATAAAAATCTAAAATCAAGGTCTGCTGGTGTAAAAAAATCACAAATGGACATACTGAAAGGCTGTAAAAGCTTATCGGGAAGTGGATTTTAATAAGCATATAAATTGTTTAAGACGTGTTTTGCCTCAGTGTGCTCAAACACTAGAAGATGTCAGGTTTGAAAGATGGTCAAGAGTACATCAACTTGGAGCAAGATATGGTTTCATGACGTCTAATAGTGCAGAATCAATCAACGCTCTAAGTCCTCATTCCCATAAATTACCCATTACTATGTTAATGGAGTTTTTTCGAGCCTCTATTCAATAGTGGTACTACAAGAAAAGAAACCATGCATGTATTATTTATTTAAATTCGTAACTTA